ACGGATCCGGCTGCTTCCGCTGTTTCCCCGCACTCGTCGGTTGGGTGCGACACGGGGGGGGAGGCGGACAGTCTTAAGCACGAGGTTGTAATCAGAGTCTTTGAAGTCGATCCGTTTGACGGAGACATTACGCACGAAACGCCGGTCCGTCTGACGCATGAGGATGAAGTCGAGGCGGTACTTCTTCTTCCCCTTGTTGGAGCTCTGGAATGTGTGCTGCACTCCACCTTTCGGTGTCCGGAAGTAGGTGTTGGTCAGGAGGAGTTGGTTGTCTGATGCCAGTCCAACGAGCCGTTACCCGTTGTTGTTCATAATGTCGCGTCCGTACGCGCCCATGATCTTGGCATCGCAGCACCCGTCTCGCCTCTTACCAGTGCGTGCGTTGGCGTCCATTAGCACCACGAGATGGTCACGGCTGTGAACCTCCCGGATCGCTGCGTCGAGAGCAGTCCAGAAGGAGTCCTTGGCGTTAACATCACCGCCCGCGGTGGTGCGGACAGTTTCCGTGGGGGCGTACCCCACCACGAAAGTTACTCCGCAGGTGCGGCCAATTTGTAGACGCACCTTCATCAGCCTCGGGCTAATGCACTCCACCGTCCTACCTTCCTCGCCCACACTCTCCCACATGGCCTCCTTGATCGCTATGCCCACACCGTGTACGCCCCTCTTGTCCTTGGTGCCAGCACGGGCGCCACTCCAGATGATCACGTACTCGTCGTGTGCAATTGAACCATGCCCCTCTCGTCGGGTCTCCTGAAGTCCAATCACATCACAGCCGGTCGCGGAACAAATCTGCATGACCGTCATCACGTTGTGACCGATGGGAAGCGATCTAGATGTAGTGGGGATCCAAGAGACGTGGGAATTGAAGGATGGGGACGTGGAAAGCAAACTAGGGAAATACCGGTGGGTAGGGAAGGAAAGAAAAGGCTTAGACAGGAAGAAAAGGGGGAAGGGGGGAGTCGGATTCCTGGTCAAGGAACACTTGTTTGACGTGGTGGAAGTAGTGGTGAAAACGGAGTTCGAGGAANGTAGGAAGGGAGAAGTTGTCATGGTGGGCGATTTCAACTCCAGAGTAGGGAAAGCTTCCAGTAGAGGACAGGCGATCGGGCAGCACGGAGAAGACAAAGGGAATGACAACGGAGTGAGGATGCTTGAATTCTTGGGAAGCAACGAACTGATGGTGTTGAACGGTAGGAGGGAATGCGATAAGCCGGAGTTCACCAGGCAACGGGCAGTTTGCAATGAATATTCCATCCTCGACTACATTCTGGTAGATATGGGGAGCACACAGATCCCATAGCTGCACATAAGTGCGATAGATATAGGTTCGACCGACCACTTCATCATATGGGCAAACATCGACCGATCTAGAAAGATGGAGAGTAAGAAACAGAGGAAAGCGTCCCGGTGGAAAGTAGAGCGTTTGGGAGACGAGGGGACACGGGGTGAATATCCAGAAGGGACTGGCTGGTCTTCAGGAAACGCTGAGAAGAGTCGGAGACGAACAGGTAGACGTACAAGCAGCAGGGGACAGGGTGATTGAAGGGTGGGAGTCCATCGTGAACGCAACGGCAGAGAGAGTAGTGGGAA